GTTTTTTCTCAGTCAGTTGTGTCCTTCAAATACAAAGTATAATTCACATTATTGTTGAAAACTTTTATTTATAATGTGTTGATGTTGATTACAAAAATGTTTGTTTCTTACTTTGTGTTCAAGTTTACAATATTTAATCGTATCCTATTCCTCATTGTTTTAATTTTGTATGAAATGTTGAACGTAAAAAGTATGGTAAGACAAAATATTAGTTATCCTTATTTTGTTCTTATATCATTCAAACTAATTTTAGTTTTTTAAAGATGCCTCAACTGTGATTTATTTTGGCATTTGTGTTGAGTTAAATCCAGCTACAACCACTGTCAAAGAGCTTAATGGTTGTATCCACAGTAGTATGCGAACAATCGCCTAAGCTTCATCTCTTCAGTGGTATCCAGGACTGTGATTTTGTACAAATACATCATTTTACATCGGCTTATTTAGGGAAAAAATTTGATTGTCCTGTGATGTATCTAATAATGTTGCAGTTAGACCACATATATATTCGCAGCCTCAATTGTTAGTACAGCTTGTTCTCTCCGCTTATCTGTGGTTTATTAAGGAATGATGAATTCCAAAATCATTCAGTCAATAATGTGGAGCATTTAGTGGGAGGGTGATTCTTGTGAGTTTTATGTTTTGGGCCAATTCCATTCCATATTTTAAGGAGTATTCTTTTCCTTAAATTTAAGCTAAGTTCATCAAAGATGCTAGGACATCCATAGAGTTGCAAACCGTGATTGAACTTGAGCTGCTACTTGCTCTAGTTTATAATTGCAGTTCTATGATGGTATCGTGTGGTAAAACTTCATTAGTATCACACTTATATAGTATCACAGCTATATTTTCTATTTGGAAATAAAATTGACATAGACATACAATCGGGGCAGGTTAGAGATGGCGAATGGAAACTTTTGTATATGCCCATTACCATCTAGAGTGACCTGTCCCTGCAGCTTTGTATCCGCTTAACTGCACATATCCATACACTAATATGTTGCCAAAAATATTGTATCAACTAAAAAAAATTGATTTTTAGTGGGAAGGCATGTTTTTGTCTGAATTATTTTTTTCTGTTACAACTTCATATGATCAGAAGATCTACTATTAACTAAAATTTCTTATTACCTGTGCTGCTTATTCAGGGCAGAAAATAAAAATCATATACAGACTGAATATAATGATGTAGAGTGAAATTGTTATAATGCCTGTCAACTAGTCGATGACCACTAGACAGAACGAGACTGAATTGGATGGAACTGATGAGATTGACTAGACCTAACATTCTACATGAAACAGTTGCTGGTTATACATGTTGGCTTAAAATGGATGCATTAACAAAAATGAGGATATAAAAAGTGAATAATGTTGCTAAGTTAATTTCAACACTTCCCATCAGTTCAACCCCCCCTCCCCCGTATGAATAATGATTAAATTAATGCTTTTGTAAATTCCACAAATTCATTCATTTATTTTATAATTTCTATTTCCTTTGTGATAAAGTTTATCACTGCCGATTTACCGCTCTGATCGTAATTTTCCTTGTTTTCTCTGAATAATTCCAGGTGAATACTGGAGAAGTACCCCAGCAAATTTGTTGTTGAATGCATGTGATCTTTTCCTCACCCATATCCCTTCTCGTGAGCGCCGGATCTCGTGGTCCAGTGGAGGGAGGTACACCACAACCTCCCAAGATATAACTTGCACTACTCTAATGGGACTAATTACTATAATTGATTCTCCAGAAGAGCAAAATAAGTCACTCACAAAGAAAACCACACTTTAGTTCTGGGATCCTAATTCTTATAAGAAAAAGACGTTCCTCTTCATTATGTAATACTATTATCATTCTCTGTGATTCGTATCAGGAGAGATCAATTGATGACACTGCAGTCCCTCTGACCGGGAGGTTCTAGGTTCAAGTCCCCACGGTGGCAGGATTTCCGATACTAGTTTGAGAACTATGTCAAGTTCGGTCGCTGTCTGCAGCCTGTGGTGCCTCGCTTGTGGGAGATACCTGGTTTGGGAAAAAACCTGCTAGCCAAAGGTACGTTGGTGCTGGTTTTGGCCATACAGTGGAGGGAGACCACAACGACCTCCGGAGCAAAAACATGCACTATACGTGAAGGACTACTGACCTCAGTAGTTGACATGCCCATAATCACTAAATCACTAATAAATCTGTGATATCTTGTTGTTTAAAAAAGTATTCCAAAAATTGCGTTTTCGTGTAACCTAATGATAAAGAAAAATCTCTGCCATTTGATAGTTTCCTATTTTTTAACTTTGATGTTTAATAGTATGATGTAATGTTTTTACAGACCTTTTAATATTTTAAAAAAAAATTATTTTATTATTTTTTAATGTATACATATAATTCTAAGAAACGTTGTGCACATAGCATCTTTGTAACGTTTTCCCTTGAATTATTGAATGGTAATCAGCTGCTCATTTCGTCCTTGGGAGTCTTAATACATCTTTTTTTAGACAAAATGTTAATAGTTTAGGAACATCTTCACTTGCACCATTTCTAGAAATTCATCATAATCAATTCCACCCCCACCATTCATTTGAGAACTAACCTGGGTTCTGCATGTCAACTTTTTTGCCTCATCTTCTCCGGAGTCTCGTGTGTGAACAATTTTTTTTTATACTTTCCCAGGTGTTACTTCTGTAATGTAGAGTAAGTACTGTATTGCTGCAGTGGAAAATGACATATTTTTGACAGATAAGTGATTTTCTATAAAAACAAAATGAAAACAACAAAAAATGGTATTTTCATGTTAGATAAAAAAATGTAAATCCTTGACACCTAAAAATTGGATATTTCTTGCTCTTAAATGTAGCAAACGAGTTGTAAATATATTGTGTAGTGAGAATTCACATTTTATCTTGGTGCCAAAAAAGTGGGTTTTTGGCAGAAAGTCTCAGTCCGTCTGGGACAACACATGTGTAAATTCTTCATAGAATTTTCTCCAAAATTGATATTCTGAATCTGTCGTCACAAGTCTTTGCAAATTTGAATGGAATCTTTGTTTTGGTGAGTACTTTACGTAAAGTCTCAATGATATTTTCAAATTTTTTGGATTATTTTTTCTTAAATAGAGTGCTTATAAAAGTGGCACTGTTCTGATTTAGTACAATTCGCAGAAGAAAATTAAAAAAACTTCAAACTTCTTTTAACCTACCTACCTACCTACAATTTCAATATTAACAACAAAGATTTATTGAAAATATGTTCAGGTTTTGTGTTACTTTGTGTCAACTAGTAACAACTTTCTTTTTTTCTTGAATTCATCCAATTTTCATTAAAATCTCTTAAGTTTGGAAAACTGTCAATGTTATTTTAAAGTTCAGGAAGATTGTTATGCTGACTCAGATGATTGGAGTAGTAATTGTGGTAACTGCTTACTAAACCAAATGAGTTCATATAAGTTCAAATGAGGGGTGGTCAAATATTTTTGTGGGTTGGAAGCACTTGCGGTTTCAAGTAGTACTATAATATTATATAACCATTACAAATAGTGTGAAAGAACATGCTGTTATAGAGTCGTAAGTTTCTAATTTTACTCAATTTATACAAAGCATTTACAAATTACATATCATGCAGAGGAATCTTTTTATTGTGAATACACACTTTTTTAAATTTGAAGATAATCATTGAGGAATCATTCTGAACTGAAAATGCACCCCCTTCTGCAATATTTTCTGGATCCACATCTGTGCTACCTACATCTTGAAATTTTGCATTCAAAACCCAAATATGTTTTGGTGGGCTCAGACACATCATGTCAGTGGAGGAAAATTGAACGCACACCTTACCTTGTTTTTCAAAATCTAGAACATTCTGTTAGAAGTGTTTTGTATCCTTGTTAGTACACTGATGCTTATTACAAGAAGAAGAAAAAATGCAACAAATGATGAAGACTTATAATCTGCGACTTGCACATGTAACATCAGCATCCTATCTAACAAATAATACTCTAAGGCAGTGTCCTCGTATGTGTACAGGCAATTCTTTGGCATCAATCAAATATAATCAGGACCATCAGGACTTTGAATTGTCAGAAGAGCACCATTGAAGGTTGAGGTGAAATCTAGATGTCTATACTGTCATGTTACCCACAATTTTACAGTCAATATACTAACAAAGTACAGCATTAGAAGACATGTACCTGATTTCATGCACTTTAGTATGTTTGTTCATAAAGTTGTGGTTGATAGATGCAGTTTTGCGTGCTAATTAGTGTAATGTTAAGGTAGTGTACTGATTATTAGACTAAATATTTTTTCTCTGACTTAACAGATTTTAATGAGTCCTGAGAAGCACCTGACAAAAGTAACTGTTTGAAGTGTAACGTTTGTTAATGTTATTGGAAATGTATACACAGTTAATGGTGCAATGAGGGACGACCAATTCTTAGAGGTCCTAAAGAAGCAATAGTTCACTCACATAAATGAGTTGTTTGGAGAAAAATTCAATGACTACGCTCCCGGTCACAATTAGAAGGAAAGTTGAGAAACCACTTCAAGACCTTGATCGGTCTTGGTTCCAGTAGGCTGCAAATAGCTCTGATGTGAATCTCATCGAAAATGTTTGTTTGATAGTTACAAGAAATTTAAGAACAGAGCCATAAAACTAGCTCATAAAACAACTGGTTTGCATCTCGCAAAATGACTTCCAAATTGAAAGAATGGATTAAAAATTGTTTTTCAACATTCCTCAAAGCAAGAATGCTAATTATGAAATGTTTATAAAACATTAGAACCTTGTACACTAGTGTGTCAATCTACAGTTGCAAATACATTTTGTCTTATTTAATTACTCTAGTCTAATAATTTGGCCACCTCTGTAATCATAGTTAATGCACTTTATATTCACATTCTATCTCAATAAAGATAATGACAATAATGATGATGATGATTTCTATTGAATTAAAAATGAAAATTTTGAATTTTGTTGATCTTAGGAGAACTGATTGCATTTTATTTATTTTCAGAATTTAAAACAGCAGAAAACACGCCGAGATCAGTTTTCTCAAGGTCCATTATCCTCATCTCTGCCTCCATCTGCTATTTCTGGACATCATCAGGGATCGGTATTGTTAGCAGAAGAGCAAGTGACTGTCAATATGGAGCCAAATAGTCAGATGATGCCAGTTGTTCAGAAACAAGTTATGGTAGCTGATGAAACAGTAAGTATGTCTAGCAGTTCACTGAAAAGATAAGTCTAATGTGTAAATAATTGAAAAGATAAGTGTAAATTCAACTTACTTGGTTGACATATGATCTGAACCATGTATTTATGCATTTAATGTATGAATATATACAGTAAAACATTGCACTACAAACTCTATCTACTACTCTACTCTTTTTATAAATTTCTATGGTCGTATTTTCACTCTATGATGTAGATGTGTAATAACATTTCATATTTTATATGTATTTCGGTTTTTATTCGATTTGCTTTCAGATTTAAAAGGTCTTTTGTGCGTTAAGTGATCCATTTTATTGAAATGTGCACTTTTTGTTTATTCTTTTACACATTTCTCTAGTATCTGAAGTTGCAGTATTTTGAAACAATATATAAAACAAATGTATTGTAGAAAGTTTGTATTTTTTGTCTTGTTTTAGGAAAGCTACATTCAAAGTAGAGCAGAAACTATGCAGAATATTGAATCTACTATTGTTGAATTAGGAGGAATTTTTCAACAACTTGCTCATATGGTGAAAGAGCAAGAAGAAATGGTTGAAAGGTACTATCTTTGTCAAAGCAAAGTAAAGGAAAAATGTTTGATTTCCAAGATGGTTAAGAGGCATTTTCAGAAAACTTGTTCTAATAATTCTAGTTTAAGACTTTAATATTTTTCTCTGTTCATAAAAAAGTTTTAAACTTTTAGTTTATTGATTCGATTCAATTAAATTCAAATTCAGTGATTCCTTATTTTGCTTGGTGGGGTCCTGCTCTTCTCCTTGACTATGCATGTTTCACTATGCTTCTTTCACCATCTAGGAAAGAAAGCAGTCACTTAGTCAATAAAGACAAATAGAATTTTGGTCAGAGGCTTCTTGTACCCTTCAGGGTCTTTTACATGCAGGAAATCTACATCATGGGACAGTTGGCTTTACAAAGAATTTTTTTGCCAAATCCAAACTTTCATTGGATTTAAACCCTTAAATGTGAGCTAACTGTTACATCACTGAAGCTGCATATTACACACATTAACTACTTCAGACATGAATATTTTAGATTGGCTGCCACCAATTTTTTCATTGCATAAACATCCTTATGAGTGCTTTTATCATTCTGTAAAATATTGTCACAAAATATTTAGAAATTCAGTAATTAGTTCTGTTCATTATCATGTACATTTCATCTCATAAAGTCATGTATTTTATCTTCAAATTGATTTGTGTTATGTTTTTCATTACTATACAGTGAATACACACTAGTTCTACATACATCTTTATTGCATCTAAAATACTCTTTATAGTAACTCAAAAAAAAAAGAAAAAAAGTTGAGAATTGAAAATTTAAGTACAAAGAGTTCAACCAGCCAAAATTTCATCCTTCTTTAAATTTGGCGGCAAAATCCTTTGGAAGTGACAGAAATATTTGTTTTGTGTTATTATCAAATATCTGGGTGAACTATGTTTTTGGTACTTAAGTTCAAAAAATTCTAATCTAAAGTCATGAGAAAATTTAATAACTTACAATGTATACCATGACAATTAAAATATTTGAGTATTGGTACCAAGTTCGAAGTATCACCATCAGTATGTGTCACTTGTACATACATTTTGTTCACAAATGACCACCACCACCCGTAAATATCTGGTATGAATAAACAAACCAGAAGGAAGTAACTAAAAGTTCTGTAATTTATTTTCAAAAACATGTAAAAAATTTAAATACTTAAATGACAATGTGTTGAAAAACGTTTACATGCTAAACTGTGTCCACTGTGTGCGATGATTGCTGTTTACATCAGTAATTATTACATATCTTGACAGATTGCACAGAGACTTGGATACAGAGTTTACAAAGTATCCAACCTTACTATGATGCACTAGAGAAAAAGATGTGCAGTAAACTCCAAAGAATAACCAAATTTTCAAAAAACTCCTTGAAAAGTACAAGTATATCAGCTCTAATAGTTAGCCAGGTTAACCTGCTAAACTTGTGAATTTGATATTGCTAATATCAAATTCATGTGTGTATTATTATGTAATATTGTAAATAAACAGCTTGTTTCTTTTTGGAAATAATGTTAAAATAAATGCACTTCTTAATTTTTAAATTCCTCTTTGTTGATTATGTCAAGTAAATAAAAAGTATGATTTTTGTGAAATAATTCTTTAGAGAGAGATACATTATAAAAAATGGATTGTAGTTGAGGAATTGTTATGGGTTGTATTATTGCTGTTTTTTGTTAATTTGATGTGACTTTAGGTTAGAATAATTTGTGAAAATTGACATGTTGATGCCATTAATGTTTACATTTAAAAATTCAATTGTTGTTATTATTTTGATATGGGCAAATCATTTAAATGCACATTAAATTCGTCTTCTGATTAATGAGGTGAAGGTATTGAATCTTACTATTGTAACTGCACAAACATCTTGCTGTATATTCTTTTGAAACTGCTACTTTGGAAAATCTCAAATTATAAATGAATTGAAATGAAAGAATGACTATACTTTTCATATGTTCGTTGTTGTAGCTAACAAATGATTAAAAATATTGAATATCACTTTGTTTATTAAATGCCAGAGGCTTATAGGAGATTATCTTATTTGGTATGCATAATTAATGTTTCTACACTTCTGTTTCAGAATTGATGCTAATCTTTCAGACACTGAATTAAATGTGGAATCTGCACATGGAGAAATTCTGAAATATTTTCAATCAGTGACTTCAAATAGGTGGCTTATGATTAAAGTTTTTGCAGTTCTCATCGTGTTTTTTATTTTCTTTGTTTTATTTTTGGCATAATTTAAATGGTTCTGAAGTTGGTGTGGAACATTACATGGAAAGAGAGAGTACACTGAAACATAAGACATCAACAAACGTACTACTTTCCTAGAGTTTCAAGTGTTCTTTCCAACAGCTATTCAAAACATATTTTTAAATCAGCAGATATTGAAAATTGTGAGAATGGATGTCCATTTCCACTTTAAGACACATGAAGATGTGAATAATTGTTTGGGGAAACAAAATATACTGCAATGGCAATGTATTATGATATATTCTGAAAACTTTCAATCTTCCACTTGTGTTTTTCAAGAACAAAAATTCACGTTGTAAGTTGTAATATAGATTCATGAAAACTTTTTGTAAGCTTGTATGATAAGCATCAAGTATGAAAAGGGGTTTATTGAAATATAAGGATAGGTTTTATATTGAAGTGTATTGTAATATTTGCTGAACACATTATAAAAAAGTAAGTTATTTTAAAAAGTGTATCTATATAAGGTGATATTCATTGTATAAAAATGTAAAAACTTTTTATTGTTCTTTAAATTGAGTTTTCAGAATAGCAATACTATGATATTTTTCTCCACAGAAAATTTTCTCTGAAATGCATATAATTAATGAGAGTATACAGAAAAGTTTTATATTTGTGGAGAAATTTATTTTCGTCTCTGTTGATGATTTTTGCTGGTGAAAGTTGTTAAGACTTGTGTTATACATGTTGTGAATGTATACTTAAGAGTGTGTGTGAGTGAATATGTACCTATAAACATGTTAGCATTCACATGTGTTCTTGAAAGTGACAGTACTTGTGTGTACAGGGATGTGTTAATGTGAAATAATGCTGGTCAGAATTTGATGAAAATTTGCTGGGCTCCAAACTCTAAAAATATATATTCTGTATGTTTTGTAGGTGAAGTTTCCTGGGGAAAATGGTTTTATATCCTGTCAGGTCTCTGTTTTATGTTTTGTTTAATGAAGTGAATCTGTTCACCTAGTTACCTAAGTCAACTTGGAATGCAGTTGTGTTAAAAGGGATATATTCTCCTTTTCATCTGTTCTTTTCCATTCATCAATTTTTGTCCCTTCCCTCATGTTAATCTGCATGGGATTTTTGAATATGTGTTGAAAACAAGATTCATTTCAATTTTTTGAATCATAAGTACACTATATTTTGTCCATAATGTCCTAAGAATATTTAATGACCATTTTATATACAATGAAGCATGTTTTTTTTTTTCCTGCTTCCTCTGCTCATTTCTACATGGTTCTGTTCTAATGTACTTCTTACTGTAATGCAAATTAATTTTTTGGAATATTCTTCCCATGTGTCCTATTCACATTCCAGTAAATTATATTCTGCAACTTTTCTCTTTCCTTTTTCTAGTGGATAAATAGTTTTTTTTATTATGTATGTTTTATCATAAACCAGAGTTATCTCTTATATTTGAATCTTGCATTGATGTTAACATTCTAGCTTTGTTTTCATGTTCAGTGAATCACTGTTGTATTCCTATGATAAAATACAAAAATTCTGGGAAATTAGTTGTGATGTTGATTTACAGTCTTGCATGTAAACACTTATTTCGGTACCACAGTGGCAGGGAAGATGGGAAGACAGGGAACACTATTTCATTTGGTTTCATTATATGAAGTTTTAATTTATTTTAACTACAGGTTGTTTCTTATGCACATTTTCTTTTGAAAATTGAAACTGTCAAGTGATGGCAAGAGCTGTTGAGCCAAGAGGGTCTTAAGCTGAGTGCAGTCAAATGGTGGTGCTATTAGAAATATCACCTTGCTTTTTGTCTTTGAAGTTCTGTTTCTAGAATTCTTTCTCAAGTGCAAAGATTCTAGCTGGAACAAACATTTTCTAATTCTGATTGGTGAAAATTATAGTTTAAACCTCACAGGGAAAACTAAAGAAATATACCCATATGAAGACCACAGGAGAAAAAAATACAGTAAAATACCCATAAAACAAAATTGTAGGTAATTATTTTCTTGCAGTGAAGTTTTGTTCAAAGAAATACAGTTGATTCTTACAGTACATTTATTGCAGAATCTACATTATTTTGACATGAAATTAAAAGTGAATGAGTTTTATATTTATTAAATGGAATATATTTATATACAGTAAGTTACAGGTGTTTTTTTTTGTAATTTTTCAGCAAAATTTTAATTCGGTTTTTTAATTAGAACTTTCAGTTATTTTTTTTATCCCTGCTTTTTAAATTGGAAATTGAATTATACAGTCCTGATACTCCTATCAGACTGATTGCATGGGAACCATCTTGCATTGGAAGATGCATACAGCTCCACCAAACACATTCATGCATGAAAAATGGCTCCTAGATTTGCTGTAAAACAGGGCACATTTCTTTTGTTTTGAACTAAACTAAGTTCAAAATTGGATCAAAAGGCGGAATTTTAATTCGTTGTACTGAAAGTTTGAGTTTTTTCAAAGTGAAATTATTTTACATCTTATTCGTAAGTAAATTGGTGAAGACATGAAATAATTTTATAAAAGTGAAATTTTCAATGTATTTTCATTGGTTATAACATTTCTTTGGATACAGAAAATACATAGAAAATATACAGGAAAATATGGTGCTTGCCAACTGTAATGGAAAGAAGATTATTTCTTTGTAAATTACAATAAATCAGGGATTGTTGATTTGAATATAATCTAAAACTACACAATACCTTTAAAGTATCTTGTGTGACTCTTCTAAAGTCACTTTGAAACATGCCTTTGTCTGTCCAGATTTCTAAATTGATTGTCAACAAATGTCATAAAATCATTTTTGGATGTGTCTCTTCTTGTTACTTTCTGTTAGTTGCCCCTGGAAAATTATCAAAATGACTGAATTTCACTCACTGACCTTAAAGCATGGTGGCTAGCCAGGAAATTTGATAATGCATGCAAATCATGGGATTGTCGTGAAATTTCGGCTTTGATGTTATATACTCTGAGTAAACTCTATTTTTGAACCTTCTTTGATCAGAAGATTCCCTTTGCTTTTGACTAAATATTGTATATTGTTTGTAAAGTATCCCAATTGTTTGGGGTTTCAAATAAAAAATAAGTAAATGTGATGTAAGTTTTTCTTACCACATCACACAATTGTAAGAAATGATACCATGTAAAATAAATTAATGAGCTTAAAAAATTTCATAGAAGTGTCTGAGAAGTTCCAGATATTGTCTATGAATTTGAAGGCCATCCTGTTGACACTGTCAGTGTTATGTGTGGATTTCTTTGAAAAATGTTCTCTGTATAAGTCTGCTGTTGAAATTGGTGAAAAGTGAAGTGTTAAACATTTTTGAGTAAAATTTGATACAGTTAATATGAAGGGAGGAGATGAACAAAATGGAATGTATTTTCAGTATTTTGAGTAAATGTTCTAAATAATAGAAGTTTTCATGTAGGGGAAAGTGGGACACATGAGTCACAAACATTTCCATGTTGGTTACTCTGTAAATAAGCCTCATATGTTATTCCTTTCATGTTACACATCTTGAATATTAATTATTAACTATAAAAATGCAGAGTAAGTATAAAGATAAATACTTTGTTGTTTCAAAATTTTTATGTGAAATTATGAAAATATCTCAACCTACCTGCCCCACCTGTGGGATAGGTTGAGACAGTATTGAATGCATCTCAACAGTTGTTAGAACATTGACCGTTTATTTATGGCATTATTTTACTTTCATTTACAAACACCACAGTTAAATTTAGCCATTACTGAAATTAACTCTGACAATGGGCTTACATTGAATAAATTGCTTACAAGCTATGGCAATGATGCACTGTAAATAAATGTATAACACTGTTATTCTGTATGAATTTTCAAAAGTGCCTCCAAATTGTTAAGGAACATGTTCACGTAATTGAATGAAGTGGCTCTTGCAAGATTACATCCTTTAGCTACTCACAGTGATAGTTGTGAATAATATTTTATAAAGCAATTTAGTATTTCCCAGCCTTGCTATTCCTCGAACTTTCATTGACGAGGACATTTCATTTTATTGATGCGAACTCTTCCATATCTCGATTTGTGAGTTTGTGGGGTTTTAAAGCCATAAAGCTTTTTGGAGCCATTGATACAAAGTCAAATTAAATCTTGCTCATCCAAGAAAAATTTTCGTGAGTCACAATGGTCTTTTATTTCCAGCTGAATTTTAGGTATTTTATTTTATTAAATTTTTAATTGACATATCTAGCAGGAATATGAGATTTCATATTCATCATCTCGACAATACACTAATACTTCAGCCATTTACACAAGTTCAAACACCTTTCATTGTGACTGCATCAAAGAACTCTTTCATCTTTGGTTTTCTCTATCCTTCAGACATTCACTAACTAATCTAGAACATACTGTATCTGCATTGAAAATGTGAATAAACTTTTGTTTCCTTAGGTGTCTCGTCTTTCCCCACATTAAATCTCCTCTCAACCTGCCCCACGTGCACTTCGTAGGCTAAAAGCACCACACCAATTCTTAAATGATTAGAACTAGTAGTAATTCAATAGTGATATTGATATAGAATATAAATCAGTTAAATGAATGATCAATTTTTTTTTTTTTTATCAAGTATTAAATCTCAGTTGCTTTTTCAGCAAAAAAATTCTTCAGTAGTTTGAAAGCATTACTTCAGTAAAAACTTGCAAACTACTCTAGCCTACTCAATAAAGATACAAGACATTGTGGGTGAAAAATAAGTGCATTCTTCTCAAAATGCCAACTCAATGTTGCAAAATTCCCTTGATATGGTAATGTCTCAAGGTGCCCTGCTTCTCATTGTGACCTACTTTCCCTTACATTATAAAGTTCTGTTTAATGTTTACTTTGGAGGTGCTCAAAGATTATCCAAATGCGAGTGTATTGCAGAATGCTACTTAAAGTATAACTTGTATATTTACTGATAAAGAAGAGAGTGAGGTAGGGGCAAGTCAATGGGAATAAATTATTTTCATTGCTCTTGTACAAGGAATTGGCTTGATGAAGGAAGCCATCAAGCTTTTTGGAAATTCAAAGCTAAAGATTAAGCAAAGCTTCTTTGCGTAGTATCAAATAGTCCAATCTAAATTAATTGATCAAAAGAAGTGTGTTATTTTGGCCCCCTTCTGAATTTCTCCCTTTAATAAATACTGGTTAAGGCATTCTTTATGTAAATTTGATAATATGAATAAAATTCTTCCTTGTGTTGTGAAACATTCCCTTTAATTTTCTAGTTTTGTAGTTGAACAAGAATAAAAGTTATTTCTACAAATTCTCTAATCTTGCTTTGTGCAGAATTTCATTGAGAAGTGTTATATGATCTTTAAAAGTTTATGCTGGTCTACAGAATTGTGGCCTAATGTTTTATCCGATTGATTAAAGATTAAAAAAAAAAAGAAAAGTTAATTAGTTTATGTTGTAAGATGTTTTCTGATTTGAATGGAAAATATTGAATACTTATGCATATTTACTGTTAAAAGGACTGTATAAATATTATTTTCTTTGTGTTGTGTGGAGAATGATTTTATTTTTAAAAAAAATCCTTTTTGAATGTCTTGTTCAATTTATACATGTGGCTCAGCATATTTTAACCTTAATATAAAATCTGCAAGTGAATGAGAAAGCAGACAATTTTACTATACTATGCTTTTCGCAACTCTGTCTCTGGCTGGTATCAGCTGTTAGCAGTTTCATCCAATCAGGAGTTTTAATGTCACCATAGTGCCGTTCAAGTTCGCAATTGGATGAAACCTTCAACAGCTGATACCTGCCAGGGGCAAAGTTGCATAAATTTCAGTATACAGAATTTTAGTTCTTATTATTTAAATCTCAAAATGAACAGTGTTTCATTTCTCCTGTTGTGACCATTTTTCTTAGTGAATATGATTTAAGGGTACCTCAATATTGGCATCTTATTGGTGGTAAATTATTTTAAGACTACAAATAAACTGAGAGTGATATAAATACTTAAAATTTGTTAAATAAAAGACATTAGAAATAATACCCTCACTGATGAGATAAAATATTCTGTTTTCCCACAGGTGTGCACAGCCTAAAGTAAGAGTAGGTGCAACTTACATTTCTGGGCCTCTTTTTAATCTTTTTACTTATATATGGCATTTTGCTAGTAAATAAATGAAAGAGAATGAAATTGTAACTTGAATGATGTAATTAATAAATGCAGTTGATTTTGTATTGAATCATTTGCTCAATGTCCAGAAGGCCACATGTCCAAGTATCGTAGAAAATATTTCCCAAATTGTTAGTTTAAAAAGGGGAAAATCAGGGATGGAACAAATGTAAGGAAATAAAAAGTTTTATTAGATAAGACCAGAGGCGGGGTTTCGGATCTTTTATTGGGGGATATAAGATAGCAAAAATTACCCTACACCAAATGGTATATGAGTAGTTACACTATATAATATAAAAATAATATTTTTGAAAGGTTTCGTAGCCCTCCACCCATAGTTTCTTAGTCCCGTCACCCACACTCCCCTACAGCCAGAAATGTGTTTCATTATAATTTTTGCGACAACTTAACAGTATTTTATCTGTTTGAAAAATATGAAAAATTACAAAATAAAATATACTATCAGAAAAACATTTCTTGATATTTTCTCAGTGCCAAATTCAACCAAAAAGTTTTTTTAAAAAATAACAAAAAAATATTTTGCTGTCCTAGAACCCTGGAACAGGTTTGAAAAAAAATCTGAAAAGTTCTTCTGAAAAGCACAAAACTGAATATTTTCAGATATTTTTTTTTATTGCTGAGCTGTAGTTAAAAAAATATAAACCATTTTTACCATTTTAAATCACATACACTTTGAAAATGGATGCAACACTTCTGTGCATTTATTTTAGTGTTTATTATACATTTGTAATAAAAATTTGATCTGTTGTCAAAAAAAAAAAATCCTGTTTTGATAATTGTACTGATATTATGATTCAAACAACAGATTCCTTTTATAATACGAGAAAAATGTATTACTCTAATAACGTTGAATATAACAAAATATTCAGTGCAGAAAAGAGGTTCGCTTTTTTCTCAGTATACACTTTGCATTAAATATCATGCATTAGTTACAATACATGTTCCATTATAATGGAAAACATACAAAATATAATATAAAGTTCTACTCAACATCATTGGTAAATTGTCACTTTCTCGCTTTTTCAAAAATTGTAAACGTCCAGTTTTGGTCTCTAACACACTGTATGGTCTCACTAGAACTAGCCGATCACAGAAAAGTTAGCCACTCTGTGACTTTTTTGAATCCCTTCATTTCGTAGCTTTGACAAATTTCTTCATTTGAAGTTCTTCGTTATAGAAATAGTTTTTACATGGACAACGGCCTAGAGTTTTCAGTTTACCGACTACGCTTCCATAGATTACACGTAATGTTAGGAAAAACTGATTTTTTCGCACAAAACATTTCGTGATAAGCATTTTTCGTCATTCGAAATATTGAAAATGCTAGGGAATTTGTAATAAAAACAATTTATTTAATCATAATATACGTATGTTCCTTGCAATTCTAAACAATATGGTACAATACAATAAATATGCTTTCAGACTAATAACACTCAATTTAGGGTATGGATGGTACGAATAGTTGGAATTCAGTACAGCTTCCATTTTGTAAGCTTTTTTTGCAAATACACGCAAAAATGCACATAAAGTATCACCAGTAAGATGTTCTGCGTTTTTCTCTAATAAGATCATTTTCAATTAGTTCCGAAAATTCTGACCCAAAATCTACAACTACATTTAATTCTTTTCCAGATTTGCTTTCCAAGTTTGTCCCCTAATTTTTGAAAAGATTAAAACTCCACAAACTCAGTCCAATTGGTATTAATTTTAACCATCAAGAACGTAACTGGGAGAAGTCGAACGTAATAAGTTAAATGTTCTTTCATTTTGTAGCATTATTCACAAGTTTGATTTTTTTGTTGTTTTTGCTTTTGTCTGTTTATATGAGGGCGACCACTATTGATTAACAACTTCAACCTGAATTTTCAACATCAAATGGCATCATCAAATTGTATGATTCCTCCGTGGACCCTAGGGGATATGAACTGGGAATATTTCAATTTCAAAATTATAAACGCCCTAAAGTACTTGCAGGTACGAACGATACTGAATAGTTAGAATTTAGTACAGCTACATTGTTTACTTTTTTTTTTTTGCTATTATGCCCAAAAAATCATCTGTAAGCTGTTCTTCAGAGTTACTCACTAACAAGATTATTCTCGATTAGTTTCGATAATTCTGTTGCAAAATCTTCAACAACTACATTTTATTTTTCCCTGGATATGCATATGCTCACTTCAATATGATAATCCCCTAAGTTTGGAAGTCATTGAAACTCCGCTAAGTCTTTCTAATTGTGTTCACTTCTACTTCTGCATTTGCCGTATGTATCGTTTTGTATGTACTGTTTTATGTTTATGTGAATAGGGTGTTTATTACGTTTTAATAGGAATAAGTTGTTACTCACATTCTATTAAAATTCGGTATTTGCTCGCTTAAGAATGTAAATGTGTAGCGTTACTCATCGTTTGATTTTCTTCTTATTTACCTGAAGTTCTAGTGCAACAAGTTCCAAGGCAATTCTGTTCGTAGGTTTTTGCAAATGTATTTTTAAAAATAGGTTAATACGGCTGCTATTTAAACGAAATCTGCAATTCACTTCTCGAATTCATTGTTACCTACATAGATCTATTTGGGTGGCGTTGGTTTAATTCCCGGCAAGCTCACTAAGATGGCAGCGTTAAAACACTTAAAATCGCTCGCGTGTTGGGAAATTTCTTAGAATCTTCGGGCCAGATCCAAAAACAGATACTCAGTTCCCCACCAGGAGACCGAAACGCGTTGAATGAGACCTTATACGTCTCAATAGGTACAAGAGAAGTAGTCTAACCGTGAGTGACGGATCCGTACTCACGCACAGTCACAGTTACTGAAATACTTTACAGGGATTTTTTTTTTATTCCTTGAACTATCTCTTATTATTTATTCCTCTCCACCACCGTCGCCCCGTCACTGCTGGGACGCGATAGTTCCTTCGACCTACACGGTCGAACCTTCCTTCGACCTACACGGTACATGCAAAACATTCGAATAATGCATCATAATGTTCAATCTCTTTCAAATGAAATTAGATTTATCGAGACATTACAATACGATTTAAGTGTAAGTCGAAGAGATGTTTTTGTTTCACAGTATATTGGTTACTACGTCATAACGAATTGATCACTCTCTAAATTCCTAGTTTTTATCCTGCAGGATCCTATTATGAGGTATTCAAATAAGGTACCTCCATTTGGAGGTTCATGTATTTACGTAAGAAATTTGATTGTTTTGCCAGAATTAATTTGTACTCAGTTGAAAATGTTTGTGAAATAAGACATACTGCGCTCAAAATTATCGTATTTGCATCTACAGACCTCCAACAAAGCGAGCAAATACCTTCAGTTTCTTAGACAATTTAGAAATTAAAACAAACAAAATAAATAACCACTCTTTTGAATCCAGTGTTGTACTTGTGTTGTAGTAGAGATTTCAATATTGATTTTATGGATAAATCTCGTGAAAAAAGTAGTTTGTCAATTTACTTCATTATTTTAATTTAGATATTACAGTAAATTACCTACACTGAATATATTTAAATTAAAGAAAGCCATAGATCAAATCATAAATAACAAAACCAAAAAAGATACGAAATAATAATCTAGATTACAGGGACCACAATTAACAAATTCTTACAATTATTAATAACTTGACCTCTAGCAAATTAAATAATATATGCATGTGTAGGTTATTTACTATTTTTCTGAAAGTTTTCATTTCGCTTCAACGCGTGCTTTCATCTTGAAAAGAGAAAATTATGCATTTTGTGGAAAAGCAATACTTGGATAACACAAGGAATTAGAATGTTCTGTAAAAACAAACCTACTCTTTACTTTATTTCTAAAAATCATCATAACGTATCACCTAATTTCTGTGTCTACTGCCGAAAATACAAAAGCATTTTAAGGAAAGTAATAGCACAGGCAAAAATGATCAGGATATTTTGAATGCTATTAACAAAACGAAAGCAATGTGGAATATCGTAAAAAGGTACAGATTGCAAGTCTCTTCAAGTATCGCTTTTGAGAATTTATGGATGATCTCACGAAGGAATTAAAACCTCACAATTATACACTATACGTCTTCCAAAAAAAAATTCGACACGATGTTGATTTCTGAAACTTCTTTTAGTTAATTCTTTAGAATACTCAGTAAACTAAAAAATAAATAATCGGCTGGTTTAGGATTGTCTATTAAAAACTTGTGCACTTGCCTTTATGATCCCGTTAACTCATATTTTCAATGCTTCTTTATGAATATTATATTATTATATTTATACTTCCAGATATTTATACGATCTACTTTATTTATATTTCCAGATATTTTCAAAACAACAAAAATTTAAGCCATTAAGAAAAAGGCAATAAAAATGTAACTCAAAATTATCGGCCAACTTCTCTTTTGTCAGTTTGCTAAAATATATTAGAGCATTTTAACATGCGAATGGAAACATTTCTCGGGAAAAATGAAGCGTTTTCAGATTCCCAACATGGATACAGAAAAGGAAAATTTAAGGGAACTATAATTTTTCTTTTTGTTAAAGATATTGATTTATCAATGGATCCAAATGAAGCACCTGTTGGAATACTTTTAGATATTCGAATGTTTTTAAACGTTGTAGAGATGTTGAGAAAGTCACCACGCCGTTTGGCGGGAAAGTGTTGTGTGTCAAGT